TAAAATGTTTTTCAAAATTCATGGATTTCCTTTTTACTCTGTTGAAGTTTTTTTTGATGTGCAAAAAATTTTAATGATACAAGATCCCAGTTATTGATACTGGAAAAAATTCCCTGTGTGGTTTGATTTTTCTTCATGAATTCTCTGCCTATCACTGTGCCTTCAAGATTTCTACCTACAATGTCTTCCAGCAGATTTAGTGTACCTGCTTTGATATTTAGTTCTTTGATCCATTTTGACTTTAGTTTAGAACATGGTGGTATACATGGGTCTAGCTTTAGTTTTTGGCATATAGAGAGCCAATTTTTCCAGTGCTATTTATGAAAGAGACTATCTTTCTTCCAGTGAACATGTTTGGCCCCTTTATCACAGATAAGGTGGCTGAATTCATTTATACTTTTAGTTGTACCTTCTAATCTATTCCATTGATTTTTCAGGTTTATTTTTATTCCAGTTCCAAGCTGATTTAACAACAGTAGCTTTGTAGTATAACTTCAAGTCAGGGATTGTGATGCCTCTTGCCTTGCCTTTGCTGCTCAGAATTGTCTAGGCTATTCTAGGCCTTTTCTCATTCCAGATGAATTATAGGAATGATTTCTCTAGATCTATGAGGCATGCTAGTGGTATTTTGTTTAGGATTGCTTTAAATCTGTAGAAAAATTTTGGGAGAATGTCCATTTTCACAATATTTGTCCTTCCTATCCATGAACAAAGAATATCTTTCTATTATCTGAGATTCTCTTCTATTTCTATTTTCAGGTTATTATAAATTTTCCCTGAATAGATATTTTACTTCTTTTGTTAAATTGATTCCTAAGTATTTAATTTTTTGGATGTTACTGTGAAGGTTGTGGCTTCTATTTCTCTCTCAGTTAGTTTGTTGTTTGGGTATGGTAATGCTATTGAATTTTGAGTGTTGACTTTGAACCCAGCTACACTGCTGAATTTAGTTATTATACCTTGGGGTCTTTCAATGGAGTTTTGGTGGCCTTCCATGTAGACTATCATGTCATCTGCAAATAATAGTAATTTATCTTCTTCTCTTCCTACCTTAATCCTTTTATTTCTCTCTCTTGTCTAATTGTTCTGGATAGTATTTCCAGCGCTATAGAATAGGAGTGGTGATAATGGACATCCTTGTCTTGTTCCTGTTTTTAGAGTAAAGTCCTTCAGTTTTTGGTCATTTAATATAATTCTGGCTGTTGGTTTGTCATAGATGACTTTTATCATATTGAAGTAAAGGCCATCTATTCCAATTTTCTGTAAGCTAATCATGAATAATAAGCTAATCATCTTTTTGCATTGTTCCTCTGGACCTTATCAAAAGCTTTTTCTGCATGTATAGAAATGATCATGTGATTCTTGTTTTTTACTCTATTGATATGGTGCGTTCCACTTATTGCTTTGCATATGTGAACCATTACTGCATTCTTTGGATGAAACTCACTTGGTTGTGGAGTATAATCTTTATGATTTGCTACATTCTGTTTGCCAATATTTTACTGAGAATTTTTGTATCTATGTTCATTAGGGAGACTGGACTTTAGTTCTCTTTTTTTGGTTGGGTCTTTCTCTAGTTTTGGTATTAGAGTAATACTTGATTTCAAGAATGAATTATGGAGAATTGCTTCCTTTCAATTTCATTGAAAAGTCTGAGAAGTGTTAGCATTAGGTCTTCTTTGAATATCTTGTAGAATGTCGCAGTGAATCCATCAGGACCTGACATTTTCTTTGATATAGGGTTCTAATTTCAATTTCATTAATTGGAATTAGGTCATTCAGTAGATTTCCATACTCTTGATCCAGCTTTGGTAATTCGTATGTTTCTAGTAATCTGTCCATTTCTACTGTTATTAAGCCTATGAGAGTAGACGTTTTAAAAATAGCTATTGATGATATTCTTTATTTCCAAAGTGTGTGCTGATTTCATTCTTTTCTGTCTTTGTTTCATTAATTTTTTCTTTCCTTTTTTAAATTAGATTGGCTAATGGCTTGTCAATTTTATATATTCTTTCAAAGAACCAGCCCTTTGATTCATTGATTCTTTGTATTGTTTTCTTAGTCTATATTGCATTGATTTCTACTCTGATCTTTATAATTTTCTCCTTTCTTTTGGCTTTGGGCTTGATTTGCTCTTCTTTTTGTAGATATTTGAGTTGTAATATGTGTTTATTTATTTGTGTTTGTTCTGTTTTCCCGATGTGGGGAATTCATCATAAGTTTCCCTCTGAGCACTGCTTTCATTGCATCCCACAGGTTACAGTAAGTTGTACCTGTATTTTCATTTGCTTGTAGATGTTGTTTAATTTCTTCTTTAATTTCCCCTGTGACCCACTGATTACTCAGGAGTGTGTTATTCAATTTCCATATGTTTTGGTGATTTTGCAGTTTCTTTTGTCATTAATTTCTAGTTTTATGGTGTTGTGATCTGATAACATGCATGGGGTAATTTCAATTCTTTTGCATTTACTTAAATATGTTCTGTGGTCTAGTATGTGGTCTCTTTTAGAGAACATCCCATGTGATGTTGAGAAAATTATATATTCTGATGTTCTTGCATGGAACACTATATATATTCACCAAGTCCATTTGTTCACAGGTGTGATTCTGTTCTATTATTTCTTTGCTGATTTTCTGTCTAGTTGATCTGTCTGTTTTTGTCAATGGCATGTAAAGGTCTCCTGTTATAATTGTTTTTTATTATTGTATATTATATAATTGTTTTTTATTTCATTAGGTTTTTTATAACTATTGATGTTTGTTTTGTATATCCCTGTGCTCCCAAATTTGGTGCATAGATATTTAAAACTGTTATCACTTCTTCTTTAATTTTCCCCTAAGAAGTATGTAGTGACCTTCTTCATCTCATTGATCATTCTTGATTTGAAGTTCACATTGTCTGTAAATAGATTAATTACCCCTTCTTTTTTGGGGGGGGGCACTGATGCCTTACGTATTGTTTTCCAACTTTTGTCTTTCAGTCTATGAGTTTCTTTTTGATTTAAACAGTTTCTTGTCTACAGCATGCAGTTGGATTTTGTTTTTTCATCCATTCTGCCAGTCTGTTTCTTTTAATTGGTGAATTGAGGCCATTTATATTAATAGTTATAACTGATATATATTGGTTTATTTTTTACATGTTTTCTTTCTTCTGTTGGTACTTTATCTTTCCACTGTTTTTAATTGTTTGCCTTGCATAGTGTTTTTTCCTGACTATCTACAATATTTTTCAGTGTTATTTGCAGGGTTATTTTCATGTTCACGAATTTCTTCAGCTGTTCTTTGTCATAGAAGTATGCTATTTCTCCATCAATTTGCAGGACAGTTTTGCAGGGTACATCTATCTGGGTTGGAAGTCATTTTCCTTTAGGATCTGAAATACTTCACTCCATGAACTATTTTACCTCATTGCTTTTGTTGAGTAGTCTATGGGGATTCTGGTAAGTTTTTCTTTATAGATGATCTGCCTTTTCTCTAACAGCTCTTAATACTCTGTTCTTATGTTGGATTTATGGGATGTTGATTATTATATGTGTGCATGTAGTTTTATTTTGGTTATGGCAATTTGGAGTTCCATATGCCTCACTTATCTGTGTTCAAGTTTATATTCTCATGTTTGGGAAATTTTTGTCTATTTCTTCTGTAAATAGCCTCTGAATATCATTTATGTTGTCCTGTTCTTTTTTGTTTATCTCTATCAATCTTACATTGTTTTTCTTTGCATTGTCTTGCAGCTGTTGAATTATTATTTCCTGATTCTTTGTTATTTTTTAAAAATATTTCCTTTCTTCTTCACTAGCTGCAATCTTTTTTTCGAGGTCTGAAAGTGTATCTTCACTTTCATTGAGGTGGTTGTCAACTTTCAATTGAATTTTTGATTTTCTGGATGTCTCTTTGAATCTGTTTCATTCATTTTGTTTATTTGTTGCATTGCTCATTTAAGCTTGCCATCTTTTTGCATTGTTCCTCTGATTTTTTAACTATATCTTCTTTAGATGTGTTCGGTATTTCTTTCATTACATTTATCATTTCTTCTTTTACCTGGGAGGTTGTTTCTGATCTCAGTTGTTTAATGGCTTCCTGGAGTTGCTTCTTTATTTTGTTGTTATCATTTCACTAAATTCAGGTGTTTGGCTTACATTTTCTTCTATGCCCATGTCTCCAAGGCTTGTTTGGGTTGGTCTGGAGGTTTGATATTGCATTTTGCTGTTTCATTTTGTTGTTTTCCTATATGTCTGTGATTTTGGCGATGTTTCAAAACTTCCCTGTGGGCTGGAATTCATTTTGCACACTTTTGGATCACAAGGCGAATGCAAACACCTGTGAGCCATTCTGGTGTTGCTAGGCTTCTTTATATATTTATTAGAACACAACATTTAAACTAAGTTTACCAAAAAATTGTTTTTTTGCATCTATTTAGTTACAAATTCGAACTTTTAATTGTTGCAACATTACTTGTGGTAACTGGTGGTCATTCTAGTTGCCAAATGTGTGTGTCTACAGTAGTTCATACTGTGTCTTATTATTTGATATATATGAAGATTTCAGTACTATACTGTTTTATTTCTGATATTTGATAATTTTCATCATTTTTTGTTTGACATGCTGAAGAGTTAACAATTTTATGAACATTTATAAGGAAGCATTTTTTAATTGATTTTGATTTTAATTTCATTCATTTATGAGCATACATTTGACATTTTCTTCCAATTGTTGGTTTTGAATTTGTGCATATTTCACTCTTATTTGACAGTTTTCTGGGATATGAGATTTTATTGATTTCAAATACTACTTTTCCAGTACAATTATTTAGTGCTATGAAATCTCTCCTGACACAGCTTTCAGTTCACCCTGAAACTTTAGAAATGTTGGGAGATGGGGGCGGGGGGAGCCGGAGCTGTCACAGGCCCCGGGTCTGCCTGACTGAACCAAGTGGGGTGTCATGGCCGCGGGGGTGGGGGGGGGCCGCGGCTGCAGCGGCGGCCGGGGAGTTCATCCTCGACGCACGGGTCCCGTTTCTCTCTGTTCGGCGGCTGGCGGGACCATAAGGGCTTAACTCATATATTTAATCCCCCTCCGAAAAGATTTGAAACTATTCTTGAAGGGCTGTTTAGACCTACATTATTAAAAGATCTCAGCTTATTTAAAGAGTTTGAGCCTGAAAGCATTTCTGATTGGACTTTTGATGAAAATTGTCTGTTCTGTTGCTTGAGAAGAGATAAAGTAAAGGGACACTTAGTCCGCCTGGATGAACCAGCTTCGGGAGCTGGGCAAGAAGCTCTGCTTAAACAAGAGCAAGCAAAAATCATCCGATTCGAGAAACAAGCAGAGGAGTTCCTCAATGCAGTCTTTTATAGAAAAGACAGTTCTTGGGTCTCCGACCCCAATTTTCCCCTAGTGGCCCATGAGATCATGCAGCGAATGATCCAACAATTTGCTGCTGAATATACCTCAAAAAATAGCTCTACTCAGGACCCCAGCCAGCCCAATAGCACAAAGAACCAAAGCCTGCCGAAACCATCTCCAGTCACCACCTCTCCAACGGCTGCAACTACTCCGAACCCTGTGCTCAGCAAACTTCTCATGGCTGACCAAGACTCACCTCTGGACCTTACTGTCAGAAAGTTTCAGTCAGAACCTAGTGAACAAGACGGTGTACTTGATCTTTCCACTAAGAAAAGTCCATGTGCTGGCAACACTTCCCTGAGCCATTCTCCAGGCTGCTCTAGTACTCAAGGGAATGGTGAGAACTCAACAGAAACACTAGCAGTAGATTCTAACGATCAGTGGAAGTCCCCCCTGGAGAAGTTTATGGTCATACTCTGCACTCATCATCAAAAGCAATTCATTCATGTTCTGAGCGACCTGTACACTGAATCTCAGCCAGACACTGAGGACCTGCAATCTTTAGATTCTGGAGCAATGGATGCGTCATCTTGCAATGCTGGCTGTGCCCAGCTAAGCAGCAGATACAAGGAAACTGATGCTATGTGCCTCAATAGGAAGTCTCCTACTTCTGTAGATTTGTTCACAGACTCACTGGGCTCTCACAGCCCTCTGCGTGTGACAGAACAAACCCTGAAGGAGACTCCTTCTGAGACAAACTGTAGATAGAAGAGAGAATGCCTTGACGGTTGTCCAGAACGATTCCTCTGAACTTCCAGCCACTCAACTTTATTCTGGTAGTTCAACAGATAGTTCTACTCTGGGTTACCTCACTGCATCTAATTCTTCCTCACTGAACTCCCACCATGTCTTTAAAAGCTTGGAGGAGCAAACCACTGGACAAGAGCAAGACCCAAGTGTGAAAACATGTGAGGATGGTAAAGATCATATGCAGAGTTCAGCTTTAGTAGAAAATCTGATTACAGTCAAAGTGGCAGCTGAGAATAGTGAGGAGAGCAATAGCACTATTGTTTCTCAAAGAAATTCACTCAAATCTTTATCAAAAGAGACATGGGACTCAGGGTTTGTAGGAAACTCACCTAAAACTTCTGACAAAGAGAATGATTTAGAGTGTAGCTCAAAAACATCATTGCACCAGGATTTAGAGGCAGGTGAACAAGATGCAAGGTCAAAGCAAGAGAACCATCTTCACTCACTAGGAAGAAATAAGATGGGTTACCATTCATATCCCAGTGACAAGGGCCAATTTGATCATTCCAAGGATAGTTGGTTAGCCCTTAGCTCCATGTCATCTGTACATAAAACATCTAATGGACACTCACAAACCAAGATGATACCAGCTTCCATCAAGACAGCACGAAAAAGTAAAAAAGCATCAGGGTTGAGGATAAATGATTATGATAACCAGTGTGATGTTGTTTATATCAGTTAACCAGTGTGATGTTGTTTATAACAGAATGCTACTTTGAGAATCAGAGATCTGTGTTATCTTCTCGGAAAACAGCCAGAAAGAGTACTCGAGGATACTTTTTCAATGGTGATTGTTGTGAGCTGCCAACTGTTCGCACACTGGCCAGAAATATACACACCCAGGATAAAGCAAGATGCTCATTACTAGCATCAGAGGTTAATAATGTAACTCCCAAGCAGACCTTTACAACTTCAGCCCCTAGGCATGTAGGTGATATGCAGCTTCCCAGAGAAGATAACGTTGAAGAACCTTCTAAGGAAATAATTTCTTTCAAGGAGGGAAGTGAAGACACTTCTTCTGCAAAAGAGTCTCAAGAGCCTGAGGTTTGCCACACAGCAGAGGAACCAAATCCCAGCAGCTCTCCTAGGTTGGTGGAGACAACAAACCCTAGCTTGGTGTGTCCTTTGTCTGCTTGGCTTCCTGAAGAGGATGTGCCAGAAGGCAGAACCATTTCAGCTCCCATAGAAAATGTGGTATCTCCTCCTGAACAAGACCGACAACCAGTTGCCTTGCTAGATGTGGAGGAGATACGTGTACCCCAGGACTGCCACTTGATTTCCCCAACTGAAAGCATTTCTGGGGGAGGCAGTAAAGAAGTCCATTATAGGCCTCAGTCTCTCCTGGAAACAGTCAGTAGAGAAGAAAATCCTCTGTGCCCAGAAAATCGAAGTTCTTCTGTGGGCTGGGAGCCCTCTCTGAATCTGGGACCAGTTCAGCACAAGCAGAGCTTCAGTACTGAAGCTGGGACTGAAGCTATTCAAGAACTACATACTGAGCCATACTTGGAGGCAATCAGCACTTTTCAGAATGAAACCCCTGATGCGGTGGCAAGAGGTGAGGCAATGAGTGGTAGAGTATATCCAGAGGGAGAAGAAAGTGCTGTAAAATCTTCAGAAAAAAATACCTGTGATCCAAACATTGATTCACCTGAAGAAAATCTGGACAAGAAGAAAAAAGGTAAAAAGTTCCCCGAGGCCTCTGATAGGTGCTTAAGAAGTCAGCCTTCAGATTTGTCCTCTGTTGGTAGGTACCTAAGAAATCAAAGTTCAGATTCTTCATCTACTTGTCCTGAGATCAGAGTTTCTAATAAGTTCTAGAGCAAAGTATTCTAAAAAAGAAGACAACCCTGCTGGGACAACACCTGAGGGCTTTCTAAATGACAATTTCCATACAGAAGTTCTAGAAGAAACTGAAAACCCAAATGTCAGTGAATGCCCCTCTGAAAAAGATGTTGAGCAGGAGAGTAGAGGAAGTAGCATTATTGCAAGGCAAACTTTTAAAAACATGCTGACAAAAGAAGTCAAGAGTGAACAAAGGGAGATCTCTCCAACCAGAGATCCCATAACCACGATTGGCCAGTCACTGCCTGGAGAAAGACTAGAAATCTATGTCCAGTCTAAGATGAGTGAGAAAGATACTCATGTGTTCTCAGAAAGTATTCTGTGTAAGAAGGACCCAGAGCAGTCAAATGAGAAGCCAGGACATATTCCCACACAGAATGTGGAGGCAGTTGTAAATGATATAGACTATGAGGCCACCCAGCATAAAGATGATGCTAACCAGGCCCCATCCAGCTCAGTTGAGATGTCAAGTAGTCAAAGTGGTGATGCTGCTAGTCCACCAAAATTAGTAGTGAGACCTAAACAATTGACCTCTTCAAACTACAACTTGAGACATACTAACTCTCGGGACTCTTTGGATACTACAAAAGTGACTTCAGAAAAGGAAGCCACATTGGTAAACCCAATGCCAAAGGAAAATGAAGCTCCTGAGAGTGCAGATCCCATAGATGAGGATGTGGATGCAGTGGTAGATGAACAGCCAAAGTTTGTGGAGTGGTGTGCAGAAGAGGAGAACCAGGAGCTGATCGCTAACTTTAATGCCCAGTACATGAAAGTTCAGAAGGGCTGGATCCAATTGGATAAAGAAGCACAGCCAACACCAAGAGCAAGGAACAGGTCCGATAAACTGAAGGAGATTTGGAAAAGCAAGAAAAGGTCACGGAAATGTAAGGGTTCATTAGAAGCTCAGAACTTTTCTCCTGTTCAGATGTTATTTATGACAGACTTTAAATTATCTAATGTTTGTAAATGGTTCTTAGAGACAACTGAAACCCGGTCTCTGGTCATTGTGAAGAAGCTTAATACTCATCTTCCAGGGGACATTCCCCCTGTCAAGCATCCTCTACAGAAATACTCTCCTTCCAGCCTGTATCCGAGTTCATTGCAGGCTGAACGCTTGAAAAAACACTTAAAGAAATTTCCTGAAGCTACTTCTGCTAAGAATAATTGGAAAATGCAAAAACTCTGTGCTAAATTTCGAGAAAATCTTGACCAACCAGAGCCAGAGGATAGCAGTGATGTCAGCCTCAGCCCTAATTCTGAAGACAACATAGAGGAAGTCATAGAAGATAGAAATAGCCACCCTCCCACAAACCTGCCCACTCCAGCCTGTACACGAATCCTCAGGAAATATTCTAATATTCAAGGAAAGCTCAGAGCCCAACAGCGATTGATCAAGAATGAGAAAGTGGACAGCCCTGTGAGTGTGGCAGTGGAAAGTAAGCAGAATCGTAAAAGTGTGTGCATCAACCCTCTGATGTCCCCCAAGCTCGCCCTCCAGGTGGGTGCAGATGGGTTTCCCATTAAGCCCAAAAGTACTGAAGGAATGAAGGGAAGGAAAGGAAAGCAGATGTCTGAAATCTTGCAAAGCCAAAGTTCAGAGTAAACGCAAAAGAACAGAAGGCAACAGCACTCAGGATAGTAAGGATAAGGCCCTGAGAGTGAAAGCTGGCAAAGAAAAGCATGCTGAAGGACCCACCAAAACCTCTTCCACCAAGAAGCCATCTGTAAGAGACAAAGTCAGCCAACTGCCGAAAAAAATGTCTTTGAAAGAGAATAAAGTGAAGATCCCTAAAAAGTCCTCTGGGAAGAGCTGCCTGCCCTCCAGGAAAGAAAAAGAAAATACCAACAAACGAACTGCCCAACCTGCCACCTCAGAAGCACTGATGAAACCTGCAAAGCAAAAGGGGTCAGGTGAATCCTCTTCCAGGCCCCAGAAAGCCACCAACAGGAAACCAAGCAGTGGGAACACTCGGACCAGACCCTTGACAAAAGGCCCAGAGAACAGTGTGGCCCAGAGGAAGCGAAAGCTCAAGGCAAAGCTGGACTCTTCCCACAGCAAACGGAGACGTTTGGATGCAAAGTGATGGAAGGATGGCAGCCAAGAATGAAACCGTTCTATAGAAGTAACCTTTTATTTTGCATTATCTAAATTGCTTTTGTAAGCTTATCAAGCCTTTCAAATTACAATTAATAGAAAACACCACAATTTGAAATGTCAGAAAATGCATCTCAGGTAGAAAAGGGAACTTGTAGAGTCCTTCTCTGAGGTTGAGTAAGGGAAGTTATATATTATATTCTGGTTGTTCCTTGGGTTTTAAACTTGGAACCAAGCAGTTTTTGTTTTAAAAAGTACAGTGCCTTATTTATCCTTTTTGTTTTAAAATTTACAAAAGCTAAAAAACTGACCTATGTGTTTAAAGGCTTGTATTTTATACTTGTTGCACAAGCACTTGTACTGTAGCCAAGAAGACCACCGTCATGCACATGAAAGGAGCTTTCAGCAGCCACCCTGCAGCGTCTGCTCCTGAGCAGACCTTTTCTGCAAACCACAGCAGCAGCTTCCCTCTCTGTCGTGTTTGGTTTTTTGTTATGTGATATTTGAAAGCTAAACCAAATCATTTTTATGATGTGTGAAGAATGCAGAAGATATATAATTATAAAAGATTAATATTTCTGTTATCTTTTAAAAATCATATTCATTGTTGGTCAAAAAATAAGAAATGTTGTATTACAATTTTCATTTACAACCATGTTCTTATTCCCTTTATATATAGTTGATGCATATTTTAGTGATAATTGTTTTATTAAATTTAGAAGTGTGAGCCCCCTGTGTACCAATGGCAGGCCTGCTGACTGGTGAGAAACAAGAACAAACTACAAAGCCGCTCACATGGCAGGAGCAGCCCTGCCAGCCAGGGACAGCCAAGAATGAGACCACCATCCACCTCCTGTGATACAGCTGATGCACTGGCTGATAAAGGAGACCTCTCACCCCTGCAGGCTACTGGCTTTTTCAGAGGAATTCAGGCTGAGATGATAATAACTGAAATAGGGAAAAAACCTAAGGCTTATGTTGTTTGATTTACTTTGCAAGCCTAAAACTGATAGTCTGAACAACTATTTAGACAACAACAATATGCAGTATTGTAACTGTTGTAGATTTTCTACTGTCTTATCACTGTTTCGTTTCATTTCTCTGTTTTAATTCCTTTAAAATAAAAAAAGTAAATTTAGTCCTTTAAAATAAAAAAGTGAATTTAGAAGTGCATTAATATTTTCCTTTTATTACTAATATGCATTACGATACAAGTGTTGTCTTAAAACACCCCTTGAATGATTTTATGTCCTTAAATTTTGTTCAGGTTTGTTTTATGGCCAGGATAGGATCTTCATTGGTGTAGATCTCACAAGCACTTGAAATTATATGTATTCTACTGCTGTTGAATGGAGCATTCTACAAGTGTTTATTAGAGCCTGTTCTATTACTTCTTTCTGAGATGTATTGAAGTCTTCCACTACAACGTGAATTTACCTAGTTTGAGTTTTGTCTTTACCAGTTTTGGTCTTTTGATAGTTCTTTTACTTGATAAATCAATATACAAGATTGATATACTGTTTTTTTTGTACTGACTATTTTAACTGATAGATGAAAACACAAAAGCTGTTTGTATTAATGGGATAGGTTAAAGTTCAATTGTGTAATTTTTAAATCAGGTTAAATATATTGGTCTCAAACAATTACTTCTTTGTGGTGAAAATCCTTCTACCTTTTAGAAACATGCAATATATTACTGTTAACTCTAGTTATCCTCTCATAAATTAACATACAAAACTTCTTTCTTATATCTAACTATAATTTGGTGCTCACTATTAATTTAATCCCTCCCTTCCCCTTCCTACTGTCCCTGACCACTGTAACCACCATTCCACCAAATTCTATGAGATAACATATTAAAAATCCACATAGAAAAGAAACAATACAGCACTTATGTTCTGACTTATTTGAGTTAACAAAATATTCTCTCATTTCATTTTTGTTGTCATGAAAAATATTGCACTGTTTTTAAGGCTGAAAAATAATGCATTGCTCATATATAACATTGTCTTTATTCATTCATCAAGCATCTTTAAGTTGTCTCTTCTTCTTGGTTAATGTGAGTAGTGTTGTAGCAAAGATGGCATTGCAGATGCCTCCTTAACATTTTGATTTCATTTCTATTGGACATACATTCCATGTTGCAGTTATGGAAAACCTTTTACAAGTTTCAAGGTTACAAACAGCCAGTTGGGGCATGCATACCATATGTTTGCCACCACTCTACTAGTGAAATTAGTGGGTCTATGATAATTCCAGTTTCAGTATTCTGATAAAAATACATACTATTTTCTACAATGGTTGAACCAATGTACATCCTTACCAACCATGTTAAAGGATTCTTTTTCTCCACGTTCTCAGTGGCATTTTTGTTTTTTGTAAACTATTATTAAGTGTAGAATTGTGATTCCTTTAAATTTTTAATTTTTCAAGATTGCTGTTGTTAAGGACTTTTGTGGTTCTATTAAAATCTTATGAAATTCTTTATTTTGTTTAAAATGTCATTAGATTTTGATAGTGGTTGTATATAATCAATATATTACTTTGGGTAATATGAACATTTTTAACAACATAGTTTTTAATTTTTCATAGTTTTTTTCATTAGCTTAGGAAGATGATGGATTAGTAATGATGACAACTGGGCTGAGATATAAAGAATAAGAAAAGGGGAAAAATATAAAAGGAAGACAATAGCTCATAAACAAGAAAAGGAGTAGAAAAGTAATGGCAGAAAATGTAAAAAGAAAAGAAATAGAATTTAGTTAATATTATTTTTGTATCTGGTGTGGAGAGTTAACGGATGGGAATTTGAGAAACTAAAACACCATTGTAGCATGAGGAAAGAGAAACAGAGGGAAGGACATATATTTGAGATTGTGATGGAGGGAAGAAGTGAGAATGTCAGTTCCAATTAATATCTCATATAAAGCTTCTTTTTGAATCCTTTATCCACAACTTTCAGTGAGGGTTTATCTTAGTTACTTTCTCATTTAAGGGAAAACATACCCAACATTCACAAGTTAAAGTAGGAAATGTTATTTTGGCTCACAGTTTGCAAATGTTTCATATCATAGTCAGATGACTTTAAGACATGTGCCATGACAGAGCCAAAGCCGATCATGGCATGGAAGACAGGTAGCAAAGAAACAAATCAAGAAAAGGAGGAGGGAGACACAATCTTCCAGGTCACATTCCCAGTGACCCACTTCTTCCAATCAGGTTTTCCTTTCCAAAATCATATTTGGCAATAAACTAATTAGTGGAGTATTTCATGGATGTGTATTCATGCCTATAAGCACATGAGGCTTGGTGGGGATTAGATACAAATCATAATAGAGTTGACTTGAGATGCCCATGAAAAATACGTTATTTAAACTAACACATCAATTAAATCTTATTCTCCTCTTCACATGTACATGCACCTTAACATAGATCAAAAATAAAGAAAAAGGAGAAAAAGGATAGCATACATTCGTATGAGTAAAACACAAAAATAAAGAATTCTCTGTCCTATTTATGCTGTAGACAGAATTTGACCCACAGCAATTGGGATGATGGATGTTCTAGTCCTCAGTGGATGAGTCCAGGATGTTGAATGTGTCTAATGATGCTCAAGGTGGTTATTCTAAAGTTTCTTTTTCTTTTTTTCCTGTGCTGCTTGTGTATCCAGACAAACCACTGGGCCTGCTTCTCATTGTCTCTACAGGCAATGACCTGCTTGATTTCAGTTGCACTCCTATGAACATGTCTAGTGAAAGTTTTTTTTTGCCTCCAACTTATGATCAGATATATTTAATTGTATCAGAGGGCATAAGGCAACAGTGAGACTGGTCAAGTACTCCATCTTCCACTTCCTTTTGAAGGGTGTTCTTAATCTCTGTACCTTTCTTGCCATGATAATACAATGTACATTTGTTCTTTATATATTTCTCTGGGAGAGTGCAAGGCCCACTCTCTGTGCCATTCTTACCTGGCTTTTGCTCATGTCATACACCTTTTTTGTACCTGACAAAGAATAACTATTCAGTCCAGTAATTCAGTGGTGTCTAGGGCTCAGAGCTCAATAGCTTTTGTCTGGCAATGGGAGGGTTCCTCTGTGGGTACTCCAATCTGCTATGTCTGAATGGAGAGTAGATTGCAGGCACAAGACTTTTTCACGTGTGGGTGAGTGCTTACTTTGTTATTACTCAATTGTTTTTCTTGTCCTTCTTATCACATTGATCACAACTATTGCCCGTTCTTCCCAATCACTGTGCCACAGTGTTCTGAGTCTGATTCTGGATTCCTAATCAGGACTTTTCCCATGTTTATATCATTTGCAAAAGCCCACCAATACTAATTCAATCACTGCCCTTCAACTGATTCTCTGGCTTTCCATTTCTCTAGTGTCCCGATCAATGAATATCTTGCTTGCCGGCTCCTTCCCCAGTGGGAAGTGAGTTAAAAGGCACTGAATGGTGGTTAGTGATTGTTAGGCTAGGCACCAATTGCAGTAGCATGGCTGGATCCAGCTCCTTCCCTCAGTTTGTCAGATTCTTTCTCAATATGGCATATTCACTGGACATGGATTATAAGAAGTACCAGAATCAGTGAATGATCCAGCTTTCCTGCTTAAATACCCATGATACTGAAGTGTATCTGATGGGCTTGTCCTTCAGGTTGTCTTCCTATACTGGGGTCTTTGTTCACCTTTAATTTCCAAGTACTTGCATGTATTGATGCGTGTCTCTTAAGCATCCTACCAGCACTGCTGCCTTTAGTCAGCCATAATCTTTGCAAGACATTTAAAAACATAGAAAGAATGCATATGAATCTGGATGATGTCACTCCATTTATTATTCATATTATATATTAATATACTTACAATAATCTCATTAATTCAAGGCAGTTTATCACACAGTAGGGGCTTTAAAATGTACTTGTGTAATATTCATTCATTGCTTCCAAAGCCCAAAGTAGATTATCTAAACTTGTTCTTACAGATGACCCTATAGGAGAGTAAAGATACTCTATTATTGAAATTCTAGTTATTCAAAATCACTTAGTTTTTTGCAAATAAATACACTTGATCATACTAAGAACATACAAAGGAGAAGGGAATAGATGTAGGGAAACATGAACTGAGAATGGTTTAGACAATAGGAATAACACTTTCTGAAGCTCAAGAGACTCCATTAAACAATGGATGGGAAGAAAAGCAAAGGATCCACCTGGGGAAATTAAGGAGATTGCGCACATAACCAAAGAGTTAGTCAGGGACTGGTGAATTAGTACAAAAGTCAGTCAGGTTCTTTTCCTTTTGTGTTTCTTGTGTTTTCTGTCCTTGATTTTCCACTGTTCCTTCTTCCTCCTGCTATTTCCTCTAGCCATCACTCAAATTTTAGTTACTAACTCCAGTCCATTCCCTTTGTCTTCACTGTATTGGGAGTAAATTCCATTATACTCCTTATATAGAAATGACTCATATACACAGCGTCTCTAACAATTAACGCAAAATTATTATTTTCTTGTCTATATTCTACTTCTAGTTGCCAATATGGTAT